GCAGGGGGCTGTAGCCAAAATGAGTTTGTCTTTTAAGCTCTTCATCCCTTTATCCAAATCAGGCTTTAACATACATGGATTACATCATTTCATATCCAAAGCCATCATTGTTACCTAAAGCTGAAAGATAAACACAAAAAGGATTAAAAGCACAAGTTTAACTCAAAAACATAACCAAATCATAAGCTAGAAGGGTACAAAATGATATACAATTATGAACCGATCAGTGACTTACATGAAGACGTCCATATGCAGCCTCCGCCTGGTTATGTCCGTATGGGGGAGAATCTTGTTTGCAAGTTACATAAATCGCTCTACGGACTTAAGCAGGCTTCTAGGCAATGGTTTGCCAAATTTTCACAGGCCATTCTTGACTCTGGTTACATTCAATCCAAAGCCAACTACTCTTTATTTTATAAACATAAAGGTATCTCCTCAGTGTTTATACTAGTGTATGTCGATGATGTAATTATCACAGCTTCATATGCAAATGAGATTTCCAAGCTTAAGAACTTCCTACATCAACGATTCAAGCTAAAAGACTTAGGCAACCTCAAATATTTCCTTGGGATTGAGGTGTCAAGATCACGAAGAGGCATTTGTTTGAACCAACGACAATATGCTTTGGATATTATCAAAGACACAGGTTTATTGGGAGCTAAACCTGAGCCTTTTCCTATGGAAGAAAATCTAAAGCTCAACAATGTTGATGGCAATCTACTCAATAATCCAGCCTCATATCGTCGCTTGATTAGAAAACTTATTTATCTAACTGTTACGAGACCAGACATTCTTTTTGCAATTAATATGCTCAGCCAATTCATTTACCAACCATGCCAACCACATATGAAAGCTGCCCCATGACAAGAAGATCAACAACGGGAATTGTGAATTCTCGGAACAAGTCCAATTTCATGGTGTTGAGGCCCAAAAAATCCAAGGCTAGGCCCAAATATAATCTCGGCCCGATGCTATACCTTATCAAGAAGAAACCCAATTTGGGCACGCGAAAGTTCGTCATATACGCTTGCACACATGCCATGCCAAGCAAATAAGCAACACGTCACGCTACAAGCTTAAGTGGGCCCAAGCCACGCGAATGCCTGGGGCTTGCTGAGCGGGTTGTGGTATGGATGGTTACGAGTATTCACGAGGCCCATTGATGGTCCAAGGAGTGGAAGTTTTGGGCTACTTGGGAGCACCAAAACTCAAGCCCATTCCTTAAGCCCAAACATATGGGTAAGCATGGGAGAAAAGCCTAGTAGCCCATCACCTTAAGAAAACCTAATAGCCCATAACACATGAGAAAATCCCACATTAGCCAAAGCTTCCAGCAGTCTGACAAAATCAAAGGGAACTCACAAGCCGCTGGAAACAAAACAGCCCAGCCCAGCACCTTATAAAATATCCAACGCCGTGCATCTCTGTTAAAACCATATCACAGCCAAACCACCAAAACCAAGCAAACCCATGTGCTGATCACCTTTTTGACCAAGCACCCTTACCCATTCTTTCCTCTTCAAGCTTTGGTGAGAAAACAAGAAACAAAAGTGGGCGGCTCCTCACCCACATGGAGAAGTCCAGTTGCCTGAGGACCTTGGAACCCCAAAAAGTTGCGTGCCTATGGGTTCAGGCTAGGGAAATTTCACCAAACAAGAGTAAGTGAAAGAAAGTGAGGAAAAGGGGAGAGGGTGGCTTGACAAAATTAAGGTTTTTAACGCCTATAAAAGGAGCCACTTTCTTCCCAGCAAAACACACAACAAACCGATCGAAGGCAAGCATCCCCTATGGAATCCTTCAATTTCATGCTTTGTTCTTCCATCTTCCTCCTTTCTCTCTCTCAAAACCCA